GAGTCAATGAATGAGCAGGGCCGGGGGCGCTGGGGAACCCCCGCGAGGCGGCCGGGATGCGGTGCCCTGCAGTGCCCGGATGCCCGCGGGGCGCCCCCCCCCACCCCGGCGTCACACACCCCCACCGGGAGCCACCGGGTCCGCTCCGCGCAGCTCAGCTCGGGACCGGAGTCCGCATTGCCGCGGCGGGCAAGCGCGGGGCCGAACACGCCGGGCAGCCGCGGCCCCAGGTAGCCACCTCCGAGTCTGGAACCCGGGACCCCCGGACCGCAGCTCTTACCTGGCCGCTTCGGCTGCCTCGCTCCGGCCCGGGACAGTCATCGCGGAGCCCGCACGCAACACCTCTCGCCGCGCTCAGCCCCAGCCTCCCGGGGCCCCGCCCCTATTGGCTGCCGCGCGGGCCGAGCTCCGCCCATTGGCTGCCCGCACGGGCCCGGCTCCACCTATCGGCTGTCCGCCCAGGATTGGCCCCGCCCATCGGCTCATCCTGCCCCCTTCCGGGCCGCCCAGGTGAGGCCGAGTGTCCCCACCTTGAGCTCAAGGTCCGGCAAGCCCAGCCTTGGCTCTGCCATTCCGTGTCCCCAAAGGGTCCTGGGGTGGTCGCTCCTTCACCGGCTTGGGGAACTAGTGCTGCCTCTCCCCCACCCGTCAACTTGAGACCAGATTCTCAGTACAAGGAAAGCAGCTTTTCCTGGAATCTGCGTGGGGGACTGAGGATGAGCAGCAGCAGCAGCTGTGAATGTTAGGGGTGTGACTGGGCCCCAAATCCCTTCCCTGTCCCCAGCTTTAACTCACTTAGCTCTTGTGAGAGTAAGGAGGGGCCAGATAGTGCCATTCCCAAGGCTCACCAAACTCCCTAGGCCTGCAGTACCCCAGACCTGAGGACAGACTTTCCCAGGTCCCCAGGTTAAAGGGGCTCCCTTGGGGAGCTGGCCAGGGTCGCCATTCTTGTGCTTTTCGCCAAGCCACCATTCCCACTACCCAGCTTTTTGTGGGCACAGCCCATCCCTCAGTAACCTTGGGGGTCCGGTCCTTGCACTTCTTCCCAGCATCCATCTCTCAGGTTTAAACCATAGCACCTACCACCAGGTACAGGCTGTTATTCCCACCTGCCCAGAGGGCAGGGTTCAGCACCTCTCAGCGAAACATAAAAAAAAATAAAATAAAAGAGCGGAAACAGGTGCTTCAGCTGTTGTTTATTGACATAAAGGTGGGCTCTATAGCAACAGGCCTGCAGCCGCCGCAGTGGGGAACTCAAAAGGTGGAGTGTTTGTCTGTTTGACAGCTGAGTAGAGCGCAGGGCAGAAGAGCACAGGGCACAGGTGGGGAGGGGAGCAAGGTATTATGGGAAGCAAGGTGGACCAGGGCTGGTCAGTCTGCCTGTACTGGAACCACGACCCCATGCTCTAAGCCCTACTTTTTCACTGGCAGTTTCCGGACTCCAGGCCAGGGCTGGGAGTTCTCTGGACATCCTGTCTATGGGAACTGAACCAACTACACAAGAAGGAGTCGCTGCCCGCTTGCAGTTAAGTCCTGTATTCCTCCTCCTTCATCTGTTGCTTCATCTGTTAGCTGGGATCTAGGCAATCCCCCATCAAATAGGGTCTAAACCCAGTCACATTTCATAGCGGCTCATCTCCCCTGATGTCCCAGCCCAGTGCCACACTACAGCCCGGAGTGAGCACTACAAGCGTTGCTGGCCTAATGGATGGGGTGGGGTGGGGATGAGGGACAAGGGCTGCAGGAAGGGGCTGCGTGGGTCATCAAGGCACAGGCACTACACGCATGGTGTTGGTGAAGCCAGAACCCGGGCGCCAGCCAGTCAGCACAATGACCACGTCTCCTGTCTTAAAGAAGCCCCGAGCCTTGCCTGGAAGAGAAAGGGGAGAGATTGCTTAGTAAATGAAAGCCAAGCACTGCCAACCAGCCGCCATGACTTCCTCTCACCACAAGGTGGAGCTAGACTGTAAGCCCTGGCAGAGGGCATGGGGCAGAGCTGAGTCCTAAGAATAACCATTAATTTACACTAAGCCGGTGGAGAGCCTTGCTCAAGGTTAGAGCTAATGGCTTCCACTCATCCCACAATTAGGTTTATTAGGACATAATTTATGTGTAATACCCACAGTGTAGCAGCTCCAGACAACCATATGGAGAAAAAACATGTCAAAGAACCAACAATGAACGTACCAACATTCATGGCCAAGTTCACCCGGAGGTCCACATCCTCGGCCCAGGCATCATGGACCGGGTCCTTACACAACACAGGGAAGATGCCTCGGTACAGGTGGGCCTGGCGAGCTGTCTGGGGGTTCCGGGTCACCGCGATGATGGGCGCACGGGGGCGGTATCGAGCCACCTGGTGAGCGGACCTGGCAGGACAAAACGGACTATGGAACCCGCCAGCTCCAGGAAACATGCCAGAGCCTAGGCAGCTGCTCACCCACCGATCAAACTCACTTCATCAGCACCCGTTTCTAGCGCTCCCTTCTAGGCTGGACCAGCCCCTCCTCACGTGCCCAACAGCAGGGTGAGCCATCACTTGCACGATGATTATCCCAGGGCTGCATGGCTTACCATGTGGTCCCTCCATCTGGCACAGAGCCAGCCCTGGTATGACCAGGACCAGCTGCAAGCCCAGCAAAGGGCAGCATGGGAATGACCAAGCCCCTGGAAGGCAACCACACTGCGAGCTCCCATCTGCTCCCTCAATATGGCCTGAAACCAACTGAAGTGCCAGAGCAAGCCAAGTGAGGAAGGCTCTGTAAGACTGTCTTCAGTGCTGGTACTGAGTGTGTGTGGGTGTGTTAAATTCAGGGCCTTGTGTTTTATTCTAGTTTTGTTTTTTTTTTTTGCTCAAGGCTGTTTTGCTCCATCACTTGAGCAAAGGTTTTTGTTTTGGGGGGTGGGGGAAAGGGCTGGTTATAATTGGAGAGAAGACTCATGGAATTTGCTGCCTGGGATGGCATTAAAACACAATCTTCAAATCTCAGCCTCCGGTAGAGCTAGGATTGATTGTAGATGTGCGCCACCAGCAAGCACCCAGCTCCAAGAGTTTTAGAAATCAGGGCGCACGAGCAGGCATGGCATGGAAGCCCCCAGCCTGTCAAGACTCCCCTGGAACAGAGGAGGGCCCCCCTGAGATGCTGACACTTACAGGAACTTGGTAGGAATTGGGCCCCAGAAGCCAGCTGGGACCACATGACAGGTGTGGGGAACGAGCCACAAAATGGCAGAGAACCCCTGCAGACGCGCGCAGGCGTGGCCTTCATACTCAGCCTTCCCGAACCAGCTGAGTGAAATCCCAGAAGCCTGAAGGTAAAAATAGCCCAACAGCAGGGGTGGGGACCTTTTACAAAGGTCATCCTGAGTGGCTTGGGGCTGGGTGGCCAAGAGCAGCCCTGCCCTCTCCTGCGTGGTGGCTCTGCTTCTCCCTCCTCACCCATCTTCTAATGGATGAGGGCCAGGGCACCCAAAGGAGACACAATGAATAGCACTTATTTTCCTAATGGAGGCTGGAAATTCGCTTTGCACCCAATCGGCTGCACATTTGCTGTCTGTAGCCACTGGAGCCAGGGAAGATACGGGGCCCGCTCTGGTTAGGACTGTGGCCACAGGAGGTGGAAGTTCTTTCCCTGCAGGTTCTGGGGCGCAGCCTGAGGCCCCTTACCTCGGTTCTACACCCAAGGCTTCCAGGACCCTCAGGGGGCTGTGTGCACAACAGGGCATCCCGAGAGAGTCCGCTACCGCCTCCTACCTGCCAGACTTGGTAAGGACGATTATGGCCCCACTGTAGCACTTGAAGGAGGCCTCCACGGCACCCACGGCGGCGGCTTCTGTGGGGTCGCTGGTAATGGGTGCGAGGCGGCGGAGCTCTTCAAATAATTGCAAGTGGTAGATGGCAGCCTCTGCCTCGCGGGCAATCTGGGTGGGTAGGGGGGGCAACATCCGTCCAGAGGGACGGGAAGGGGGGGACAGAGCTGGTCAGCGCTTTGTCACAAAGGGACAGGGAAGGGAGCAGCCACAGACGGCTGGGGGGAGGGCCATGTCCCCAGCACCAAGCCTCATCATCACTCCACGAGAACCATGGCCCACACCAGATGTGTGTGATTATCCGCTGCGATCGCCAAGAACCTGCCTGCCCTAGCATCACCTCCCTGGCTGCCTTCGGCAGGGCCCAGGCCCTTGTCCTACGACCACTGCAGGGAAAAGCGGAGTTGTTGATCCTGTAAGTGCCACCTGCCCTTCGGGCCCTACCTGCCAGACTCGGTGAGAACTATCAAAGCGCTCGCTAGGCACTTATAAGAGGCCTGCACGCTGCCCATGGCCATGGCCTCCATGTGGTCTGTGGAGTAACAGGAGGCCCGCGAAAGCTCCTCGAACATCTGGCGGTGGAACATGGCTGCCTCAGCCTCCCGAGCTATCTGCAGGGTTAGGGGAGGGGGTAGGGTGAGGAGGAGCAGGGATGAAGAAGGGGGAAAAAAAAAACAGACAAAGAGAGAACACACATGGAAAGACAGAATGGGGGAATTAATCGGGGAGATTAATTCCTTTGGGCAGACGTGGTACAAGTCCGTGTGCTCTGGGAAGGGTGCAAGATTCTATGCCAAGTTCTGCCACCTTCATCCAATAATAGGGAAGTGGAGTTCTTATCTGAAAGGATGTGTCTTCTTTTTGAGTTTGGCTTTTCTGTGCATGCCAGCACTAGGGCTTGAACTAAGGGTCTCATTTGGCTTTTTTTGCTCAAGGATGAGTAACCCTTGAGCCATACCTCCTGGTTCTGTTTGTTTCTTGTTTTGTTTTGTAGCTAATTGGAGTGAAGTCTCAGGCTTCTGCTTCTACCTGGGCTGGCCTCAAACCGTGATCCTTAAGATCTCAGCCTCCTGAACAGCTAGGATCACAGGCTAAAGCCACCAGTGCCAGGCTTCTTTTGGTTTTTGATTGACACCCTGACATGGAAGCACACCCAGGCTGAGCACCCCAATTCCCCACAGGGGACTTGACCACGCTGCCTCCTGACACAGCTGATAGGAAGAAGCCCCACCTCCCCACATGGCTGCAGCACTGGAAGCTGCCCGCCCAGCTTCCACGCACACACGGAGCAAGCACTCGCTTGGTCTTGGGCATAGGGCAAGACGCCTGTATGATGCCACCCCAGGGCAAAGCTGGGCAGCCGAGTAAGTTCTAAGCAGGCGTACGAGCAACTCCGGCTATGTTGACAGCCACGTGAAGAGACAGAGACTGGGAGAAGCATGCAGACAGTCATTAAAATGAATTAAAAAGCAATTATGACAAAGCCACAGTGTTATTTCAAGACCACTTACTCAGGTAAGCCCAGGAATAGAAGGGAGAAGGCTAGCGTTAGCAGATGCCAATGAATGATGGATTGATTGGGGGAAGTGGGGAGCAGTAATACCATCACATTTAATTTGACATTGGAAGCAGAGGGGAAGCTGAATTGACCAGGTTAAAAGCATCGATTGCTCGTTGAGTGTTTTAAGGACAGAATGAATGCATGCAACTGGAGGAGAGGAGGATACAGGAAGACCGATCAATACCTGGCACTGCCCAGGTCTTAGTGATTAATGGGGTCATGACTAACTCATCAGTTACACCAAGGAGAAAATAGTGACTTTCCCCCGATTACCAGTGATGAGCAGCTGCAGCCTGGCCCAGACCCTGAGGTGAGTCTTGGTCTCCAAACTGTCCTCTGTTGCTATGGAAACCTTGATGGTGCGGGGGGGGGGGGAAGGTGGTACCCGCATGAACAAGGGAAGAGTTGTGCACGTTTTTATCCAACCTGCTAGATAAATCTACCAATAAACACACCTCAGGTATCCCATTGAGATCTTCAGAGGCAAAGAAGTACTTGCCACAGAATGTGGCTGCAAGGTAAGTAAAGTCAAGTCATGGCCAGAGACAGCATGTCATGTCTGAAGCCAGGCTGTACCCCTAAGTAAGGCAATTAGAGGGGGCAGGGAAAGCAGGTGCAGACTCCGGAGGGGGGGATGGGAGGTGACTAAGTACCTTTCCCAGGGTGGCTGATGGCTGAGCCAAGAGACCTGGTCAGGTGGATCTGGCAGGGTGCTGTGGAGGCCAGGGCTGGGGAAGGGATCAAGGTCTCTATGGATGCCAGCCTGAGCACATGTAGCAGAGAAGCTGAGGACAGACCGAGGGCAGCACTGACGGAGCTGAGGACTGTCGTCCCCCCCCCCTCCCAAAGCTGCTCCACCAGCAGGGCAGGAACACACAGGTCATCATGGAGTAAGAGAAGCTGCCAGTTCACACCTGGCCTTCCTCTGTTTCTTGTTGGGTATTTTAAAGCTGGGGACCTGTGGGCGCCAGAGTCACACCAAGAGTAGGCGTGTGTGTTGACCGGAAACTGACAGAATATAGAGAGAGTTAGTGACCAATCAACACACGCACCTCCTGCCCTTTTGTGTAACTTTCTCTTACTTCTGTGTCAAATTGTGGCTCCACTTTTCCCTGGCAGAGCTCATGGGTAACCATGGGTAACGCATGAGAACCGATGGGTAACTAGAAAATTCTAGAGCTGACAGGAACTTGCCCAAGCTCCAGGGAAAGAGAAGGGAGATTTCTAAATCAAGGTTGAAACCAAGTCTTACCAGGCCTAATGCCCTCCCCGCCACTTCCTTTTTTTTTTTTGTCTTTTGGTACTGGAGATGGAACCCAGGACATTGCACTTGCTAGGCAAGTGCTTTGCCATTGAGCGACATCCCAGCTCTCCCGCGTCTATTTGCAGGCCACCGGTACACACTTGGCCAGACCTTTTGGTCTGAAAACAGCAAGGCAGGACCCATGCATGCAGCAGGCACCATGCAAGACTGGCTCAGTGTGGAGGTCGGCCTCCATTCTGGAGCCTTGTGGGGTTCAAACTGGAAGCCCCACAGAGCGGCCAGTTGGGAGCCCAAGGCCTGGATATAACCAGAACAGGACAGAGGTAGCTAGGCCCTCTGGACTGTGCAGAAACAAAGTACAAGGCATCATTTGTATCAGGATCCCAGGCCTCAGGTCCTGAAAGGAGACAGCACTGTACAATATCTGATAATGGGACATTATCAGGAGGAAATGAGGGAGATGTGGGCATGGAAGGTAAAACAGAAAAATCCACAACCCACAGCACACAACTCTCAATCATCTCTATGTGTGCTTTTTCACTCAAGGCTGGTGTTCTACCACTTGAGCCATAGCTCCGCTTCCACATTTTGGTGCTTAATGGGAGATAACTGTCAGACTTCCACCCTGGCCTGGATTTGAACCATGATCCTCAGATCTCAGCCTCCTGAGCAGCTAGGATCACAGGGGTGAGCCACCAGTGCATAGCCATAGCCCCTCCCTCCCTTGCTGGAGCTGGATTCAAGCCCAGCCAGACAGGTGGGATGGACTTACCAGGTGCTGCATGCGGACGGCCTCTAGGGGGTAGTCCCCTTTGGCTGTCTCTCCAGATAGCATAATGCAGTCGGCTCCATCCAGAACAGCATTGGCCACATCGCTGCCCTCAGCGCGGGTGGGGCGGGGCTTCTTGATCATGCTCTCCAGCATCTGGGAGAGGGCAGAGCAATGGTGAGATGGGGAGAGGGAGGGGCCTGAATCAGGGGCAAGGGGGAAGATGGCTTTACATGCATGCATGGGGCAGGGGAGTGTGTGGACACAGGGATAGAGTCCGTGGGAAGAGGCCCATGTGAGGGAGGGCACATGCCTGCGTGGCGCAGATCACAGGCTTGCCAGCTCGGTTGCACCGGCCAATCATCATCTTCTGGGCCAGGAAGACCTTCTCTGCCGGAATCTCAATCCCCAGATCCCCACGAGCCACCATGATGCCATCACTGGCCTCCAGGATCTCATCAAACCTGGAGGGAGATAGCAAGAAGAGAGACTGTAGAAAAGGTGCTACAAAAACAACAAACAAGCCAGGCACTGGTATTCCTCACTACTCAGGAGGTTGAGATGGGGCAGGTGGGAGTGGGGGATGGAGGAGGGAGAAATTCATGGTTCAAAGCCATCCCAGGCCAGGAAGTCCCTGAGACTCTTATCTGCAATTAACCAGCAAAAAGCCAGAAGTGGTTTAAGTGGTAAAGCACTAGCCTTGAACAACAAAAAACATCTGCATTTCCCCCCCCAAATCCTGGCTCTGCTGTATACCCTCCTCCCCCACCAAGAAAAAGAAAAGCTCAGGTGCTGGTGGCTCACGCCTGTAATCCTTGCTACTCAGGAGGCTGAGATCTGAGGACTGCAGCTCAAAGCCAGACTGGGTAGGAAAGTCCACAAGACTCTTCTCCAATTAACCACCAGAAAACCAGAAGTAGAGATATGGCAGAAAGTGGTAGAGTGCTAGCCTCAAGCAGAAAAGCTTAGGGAACTCAGGGACAGCACCTCCAACATGAGTTCAAGCTCTGGGAATGGCACACACAAAAAAGAAAATGCACACAATGATTCTAAGTCAGGGACAAGGTGACTTCTGTTCTTGGAGCTGTGGCCCAAGACTCGACTGTGGGTTCTGGGCCCCTGGAACAATGTGCAGCTTCTGGCTTTTCGATCGAAGGGGAAGGGATGTTTGGCTTTGTGCCTTTCTAACACAGTGCGCGAGCACTAGGCTAGGGCGCTGGGCCTCACCTGCGGACACCTTCGTGGTTCTCAATCTTGCTGATAATCTTGATGTTCTTCCCCTTCTCTCCAAGGACCTTGCGGACCTCGTGGACATCGGCAGCCTTCCGGATGAAGGATGCAAACACCATGTCCACATCCTGTTCCACACCGAACTTCAGGTCCTGGATATCTTTTTCTGACACTGCCGGCAGGTCCACGGCGGCCCCGGGAAGGTTCACACCCTTCTTGCTGCCCAAAGAGCCACCGTTTTCCACCTCTGTCACCAGGTAGTCAGGCCCTGTGCGAAAGGGAGTGGACAGAGAGGCAGCACAATGAAAACCCAGTGCAAGTGGCTGGAAGGCTCAAGCCTAACAGGAAGCCCTTTGTTTCCCTTTCCACCCTGGTGAAGGGGATGGAAAGTAGCCCAGAGAGGGCACTGGAGCCATGGGATCAGCGTTCAAACCCCATCTCCACTGACTGCAAGATCAGGAAAAGGTTCACCCCCCTTTGTACTCCATCTCCTCGCCTATAAATCAAGATAACAACTCCAACTCGTAGTGCTATTAGGAGAGTCAGAGGTGAGCATGGCAAATGCTAAGCAAGTGAGAAGGAAATGTTTTCTGGCAAACAGCAATGATAACAGATGGGCTGATTGTTCAGGACACATGAGTATGAACTCTGGGGCTCGTGCCTGTTACCCCAGCTACTCAAAAGAGGCTGAGATCCCAGAGATTCCTCTATCTTCCATTAACTAGCAAAAAGCTGCAGGTGTGGCTCAAGTAGTTGAGATCCAGCCTTGAATGAAAAAGAGTATAAGGCTGAGTTCAGGCCCCAGGGCCAGCCAGCACCAAGAACAAACAAGAATTACTGATAATAAGTAAGACTCAACCTTGTTTTTGTTTGTTTTTTTGTTGCCAGTCCTGGGGCTCGAACTCAGGGCCTTAGCACTGTCCCTGAGCTTCTTTTGCTCAAGACTAACACTCCACCACTTGAGCTTTTCCTGTGTATGTGGTAGTACAGAATTGAAACCATGGCTTCATGCACGCTAGGCAAGCACTAGACCCCTCCCATTCTCCATTCACACATACCTTTCTCCTTCACCTGCAGAGAAATAAGCCCGTCATCCACGTAGATCTTGCTGCCCACCTCCACCACCTTGCAGATGTTCTTATAGTCCAGCCACAGAATATTCTCATCACACTTCTCCATGTAGGCATTGTCCAAGGTGATCTTGAGTTTCCCTCCCTTCTTCAGCTCCACCTCGGCAGTTCCGCTCTGCACAGGAGATGGGCAAGGGTGTGTGTGTGGGGGGGAAGTATTTTTAATAAACAAAACCCTCATTAGTAGAGTCTTCAAATCCCTCAGCCTCCCTCTGCGATCCTCCCGTCCCCCAGCCTCCCTAGGATACTCACGCCCTTGATGAGCCCAGTCCGAATCTCGGGCCCTTTAGTATCCAAAGCCACAGCAACTGGCCGGTAGAGGATGGGGTCAGAGGCAAAGCTTTCTGTGGCTGTGCGCACGTTCTTAATGGTCTCTGCGTGGTACTGGGGGCGGGCGGGGGGAGAAAGGAAGTGTTATGTCTTTCCTCTGCCTGGATCCTACTTCCATTCCCTCATGCAGAGCCAAAGCTGAGGACAACCAACCTCCACGGCCCTCATCTCACTGGACTGCCCCCCACTGTCCCCTCCAGCAGCCTCACCCTCCTCTTCTACCCAGCACTAATCGCCTCAAGATGCGGGGCACTAGTAGCTCACACCTGTAACCTAGCTGCTCAGCAGGATGAAATATGAGGATCATGGTTCAAAGATACCCTCAGCAGCCGGGCGCCCGTGGCTCACGCCTGTAATCCTAGCTACTCAGGAGACTGAGATCTGAGGATCACGGTTCAAAGCCAGCCCGGGCAGGAGAGACTGTGAGACTCCTATCTCCAATAAACCACCAGAAAACCGGAAGTGGCGCTGTAGCTTAAGTGGTAGAGCCCTCGCCTTGAGTTGAAGAGCCGAGGGACAGCTCCCAGGCCCAGAGTTCAAGCCCCACGACAGACCAAAAAAAAAAAAAGACTAGTGCCACTTGAGCCACAGCGCCACTTCTGGATTTTCTGCTTATGTGGTGCTGAGGAATCGAACCCAGGGCTTCATGCATGCTAGGCAAGCACTCTACCACTGAGCCACCTTCCCAACCCCTTCAGCTAAGTTTGAGACTCATCTTCAAGTAAACACCAGAAAATCAGAAGTAATGCTAAGGCTCAAAGTGTAGAGTGATAACCTTGAACAAAAGAGCTCTGGGCCACAGCAGAGGCCCTAAAGTTCAAGCCCCACAACTGACAAAAATAACAATAAACAATTGAGGGAAAATGATTGTGAGGGCTTGTGTTTAGAACCATCTTCTCTGGCAGGCAATTTGGCAGATTCTGTGTTTTCTCTATTGATCTCAATCCAAACTCCATTATTGACTTAAGTTGTAGAAGCATAAGGTAATTATCCAATGCTAAGGTCAGACCAGGTTTCACAAGCACTTTCTGGAGTGGAGAGGATCAGCTGGGTCAGGTGCCTCTGGGCAGGGATTGCCCTTGGCTGTACTTCTAGCAATCCTGGCTCCAAGATCCCCTTTATCGCCACTATTTGATTCAAAAGGGACACAGGTCAAGATAAGATATCCAAATAGCTGCAGATAGCACACCACAGGCAACGCTGATAACCAGGGCACCTAATTCAGCACTTTATGGGCCCTGTCACCGCCCACGTGCAGGGACAGTGCATAGGCAGACAGGGCCCAGGCAGAGCCCTCTCCAAGGACAGCCACCTGGCGCATGTGTCAGCCAACATCTTACTCTGTAAGGGGATCAGCCAGGGATCCTTTTAGTTATGAATCAGCTACAGTAGCAGACAATATAGAAGAGAAGCAGAAACAGCTTGGACTTTTCTGTTACTTCACTTTGAACGTGCATGTGTGCATGTGTGTTTGTGTTGGTTCTGAGGCTTGAACTCAGGGGCCTGGGTGCTATCCTTGTGCTGCTCAGCGCTAATGCCCAATCACTGGAGCCACAGCTCCACTTCCAGCTTTTTAACTTTTTTGGTAGTGAATTGTAGACGTCTCATGGACTTTCTTCCCTGAGCTAGCTTTAACCCTGACTCTCAGAATTCAACCTCTTCAGCAGCTATGGCAGCTGGCTTTCCAGACTTTTCCTGAATTAAGTGCATTTGGGGGGAAACTGAGGCAAAAAGACAGAGTAACAGTCTAAAAAAAAAGAAAAAAATGTACTCATCAGCTGACTTGGGAAACTGAAACCCCTCTGTACAACAGCTTAATAACAATAAGGAAGTTATATATACATTTATAGTTATTTATAGTTTATAAGCAATTATGGGTTTTTAATTGTTATAAAGATGATATAAAGAGGGTTTACAATTACACAAGTCAGGTCAAGAGTATTTCCCTCACTCTCTCCCAGTAGCAATGAAAACATTTTTAAGGGGGACTGGGGGGGGGAGTGGAGATTGGAATTGTGAGTTAGAGTGCTTGCCTAGCATGCCTTAGATTTGGTTCCTCAGTACCACATAAACAGAAAAAGCTGAAAGTAGCACTGTGGCTCAAGGGATAGAGTGCTAGCCTTGAGCAAAAGGGACAGTGCCCAGGCCCTGAGTTCAAGTCCCAGGACTGCCCCCCCCAAAAAAAAGTAAATTTAAATTTCGACATTTCATTAACTAGTACACTTATTTTCTGGTTGCTCTGTGAGTTGGTTTGCTTTTGCTTTCCTTTCCATGCTGGACCTGAACTCTGGGCCTCACACACTATCCAAACACTAAGCCATGCCCCAGTCAATCCTGGATTTTAAGCCATTCTGCACACATTTTAAGCCAGGGAATCTGAAATCACACCTGATAACTGAGTGAGCAGAGGGCACGGCACCCGGTTCTCTGTGTGGTTATCTCTTGGTAAATTACCAGTAGGTGCACTGCCTGCTCAGCTGACAATCAATCCTCTGGGAAGCCAGAGGACCCTGCCCGCCCTCACCAGACTGTCAAAGGGGTCGTGAAAAAGCCAGTATTTCCGGCTCCCATGGCCCATAGGACACGCATGTTCAACAAGACCATATGAACTGCCCAAAGTGGGGCTTTGAGACACCCCAAACGCTACCGACTAGATCAGAAAAGAAAGGCAATCCATGTCCCTGCACCAGAATGACACAGTTCCGTGTCTATGTGTCTCCCTCTGACCTCGAGCGGACAGCCTCATCTGGCTGTAATCCCTAAAAATAAACTCCTAAGAGGGACTTAAGTAAAAATAAAACCCTACCAGTGCTAATCTAGCAAGAAGACGGAAAGGACAGATAATCTCCAAATACCTCTTGTAATATTTTTTGAAAAGGCAAATAAATAAGTAAGGAAAATTGACTGGCCAGCAGCACACCCAGGGCCCCACGGTATCACATTACTGGACCCGGGAGCCTCGCGAAAGGTCAGCGCTGCGCCTTCTATTTCTGCTCCCTTCCTGCACACTGGAGGCCAGGCCAGCAGAGGAGGGCTCATGGGCACTGTCTTCCCTGAGCTAACACCACGAGTAATTAGTAATTCCTGGCAATTCCTGCTGAGTGAAAGGCTGATTGTTCATCAGAGAGAACATTAACAGATGTGTGGGCACTGTTATTATTTTTGGAGAGATAGAGCCTAGGGTGGACCCTAAACTCACAATCCTTTCTGTTTAGCCTCCCGAGTGCTGGGATTACAGGTGGCCGCCGCTATGAGTCTAAACCTTCCTGCCTGCCAAATGAGCTCAGGACTTCCCTCTCCCAAGATATTTGGTGGGGGGGGGGGGCGGCGGAGGGAGGGGCAGGAGTGGGAGAGACAGCCTGGTGCCAGGCCAATGGCTGTTTATTGAACATGGCCTAGAGAAAATCTATGCTGAAGAGTCTCAAGTTTCCAGAAACAAGGAATTCTCTTCTGGAAATGCTGAACTTCAGGATTTATTTTTAGTCTGAACTTAATACCAGCCTTGAAAGGCCAGAGGGTCAGCCCATACCCCTCCCAAACAGACAAGTACATTCTACAGTTTGAACATGAAGTACAAGTCAAAGAGAGAGGGAAGTCTTCCATCAATGGCAAGATGAGGTTCTCTGGTCTTCATCTTGCACTGCTCAGCAAAGAGGCAGGAACGGAGGCTTTCTAAGTCAAGTTATAGAGTGTCAGACCCAATTCATTCCTAACGGATCCAACATCCCAGAAAGCTCATAAGGAAGCTCATAAGTCTGTGCACTTGACCCAGTACATCGTCCTCGTCCTCCTCCTGGGGCTCCCCCCCGCCAGTGATCTTAGGTATGAAGAGGCCCTACACTTTTAGAAAACCAGAGCTACAGAGCTAAGTTAGCCAAGTTAGGCGAAGTTGTGTGGCCCATAAAAGTGTCCAGCAGACCCTTCTACACCTTCATGATAGCTAATGGCAGTCTGGGTGTTTGGAAGAGCCTTGACAACAGTAAAAAGATCTTGTCTGTTCATGAACTCTCAAACATGAAGGTGGCAAGAGGAAAGACCAGTGGGACCACCTAATAAGGTCAATATCCTATTTACTGAGAAAATTAGAAGCAGGGCTGGCTGTCAGTGGCTCATATCTGTATGGAATCCTCACTACTCAGGAGGCTGAGATCTAAGTATCATATCAAAACCAGCCCAGGTAGGAAAGCTGGTGAGATTCTTATTACCCATCAATAAGCAAAAAGCTAGAAAGAGAAAAAGAGCTGTGGCTCAAGTGGTTGAGTGCCAGTCTTTTTTTTTTTGGGGGTCTGGTCGTGGGGCCAGAACTCTGGGCCTGGGTGCTGTCCCTCAGCTCTTCAGCTCAAGGCTAGTGCTCTACCACTTGAGCCACAGCATCCGGCTTTTTTCTTTTTGCTTATGTGGTGCTGAGGAATCGAACCCAGGGCCTGAGGCATGCAAGGCAAGCGCTCTACCACTGAGCCACCTTCCCAACCCTAGAGTGCCCGTCTTGAGCACTAAAGCTCTGGGACAGTGCCTGGGTCCTGAGGTCAAGCCCCAGTACCAGCACACACACAAAACCACTACCAGGTGTGTGTGTATATATATATATGTCTACGTATACCTACTCCACCAGGGCTAGTGAGCACTACAGACCCACTTCCTTGTATACAAGTATCCCAGTGCACATCCCAAGGACCAGCTCTAGGCTCACCTCATGAGTTCCGTGAGAGAAGTTCAGACGAGCCACGTTCATCCCAGATTTAATCATCTCCTTCAGCATATCCACTGATCGGGAAGCCGGGCCTGGACATAGTTCAAAGCCACAAGTAGGAAAACATGTAAGTGCACGGAAGGATAAACTTCATCTCTACAAACACCCTCGGCAGGTGCGCCCACCGTTGTTAGTTCATTGCATCCGATTGGACAGTTTCATTCCTACCTAGCCTGGCAAGTCTTAGGCCAGCTCTTTCTGCCTGCTAGGAAGCTCAGGCAGATGCCAGGCGCACGGTGGCATCATTTTCCATGTCTCTGAGAGGCTCCCACTAAGAAACTTAGGGAAGATATCCTGTATATTTTGCCTCTAGCACAAAACAGACTCACTACGCTCAACTATCTTTTTTTTGTGTGTACTGGTCCTAGAGCTTGAACTCACGTCCTGGGTGCTGTTCCCTTAGCCTTTTTGCTCAAAGCTAGTGGTCTTTCACTTGAGCCACAGCTCCACTTCTGGGTTGTTTTTTTTGGGGGGGGGGTGGTTAATTAGACTTTCCTGTCTGGGCTGACTATGATCCTCAGCTCTCAGCCTCTTGAGTATCTGGGATTGATTACAGGCGTGAGGCCACTGGCACTTGGCTTGCCTGCCAGTGTTTCACATATGACTCAGTCCCCCTCCACACGTGTCACTTATTCAGTTTCCCGGGGAGATCAGCCAGCCAGCCGCGTGTGGCAGGGAAGGGGCGCCCACGCGCGTACCGATGGTGCAGATGATGCCGGTGTTGCGGGCGGTGATGGGGGCTGAGTCGATGTCCAGGCGGCACATGTGCTCCAAGAACGTGTCGGCCATGGCTGCGTGCAGCTGCTGGGTCTGGATGAAGGCCGTCCCGGCGTCACTGTGGGGCTTCGGCATGGCTTCTGTGGTCCTGGCTCGAGCAAAGCAGAGGCAGGGCAATCAGATGGAGAAGGGGCTGTCTCCTGATTATACACTAGCTCGGCTCCCGAACCAACAGAAAACCTTAACAAGCAAATCCAAACCAACCATGAGCTTCCCCCTACGAGGCTGGCAGTGACTTCCTTTTACCATTTAGTGCTAAAAATCAACCCAGAGCTCTGCATATCAGGGACCCTATCACTGACCCGCTTCCCCAACCCCAGCACTTACCTCACCAACTTGCATATAACAAGAAGCTCTACCTAAGTTCTGCACAACACAAATTCTCTACTAACCTGGGAAAAAAACTGAGACCGCCCCGGGTAAATGAAGTCCTCTGAGCTACTCACACCCACCAAGTCTTTCACCAGCTCATACCAATACCTACATTTATCCTTCAGCCCCTACTAGGCACGAGGGTAAAGCCAAGCTCACTCAGCAAAGTCCAGCCGGACCTGAATGAAGGCAAACCTCTTACCTGCTAGGATTCTCCAGCAAAACCTCATCTACCTTTGGCCAGAGGACTTACAAATGGCAATGTATACAAAACTAAAAACAACCACAATGTTGCACTGCAACCAAGAGTCACTGGTAAGGTTCTAATATGACTTCTGTCTTAAGGGCTTTCTTGCCTAGTCTGGCTTCGAACCACTATCCTCAGATCTCAGCCTCCCGAGCCACTGGCACCTGACATTTGTCTGGTTTTTAAGGAAAAAGTCTCATGCCGTAGCCTAAGCTGATGTTGAACCCTGCTCAGCCTCCACATGACAAGGATTACAGGTGTGCCCAGCAACTCACAATTAAAATCTGACACATATACTGTCTCCTGTCAGTCGCAGAACCACCTGTTCCAGGCAATTAACCAGCCCAGGCCACAATTCCGGCAACTGCCCTGACCTTTGCTTCATTACTGATTTAACAGTGCAACTCGCTGGACCGGTAAGCCAGCTGACTAGAGCACAAAACTCCAGAAGGACCTGGAAGGTACCGTTTGCTCAGAGATAGATCCAACAAAGGCTCCTAGAGCAGCCTCAGGATGAGGGGCTTCAGACAGGGACCCCTTCTCAAAACCCTGAACCCAGCTTGGTAACTTGCCTGCTACACCTTTAGAACAGAATCCTCTTTTTTTTCGGGGGGGGGGGCAGGGCGGGCGGCAGGGGTTGTGGGACTTTAACTCTGGGCCTGAACACTGTCCCTCAGCTCTTCAGCTTAAGGCTTAAGAGCCACAGCACCACTTCCGGTTTGCTGGTGGTCTATTGGAGGTAAGAGTTTTATGGCCTTTTCTGCCCAGGCTGGTCTAGAACTGCGATCCTCAGATCTCAGTCTCCTGAGTAGCTAGGATTACAGGAGTGAGCCACTGGTACTAGAACAGAATCCTTAAGCCTCATTCCTGCCTTGCCTGACAGCCTGGCAAAGTCCCAACCGAGGAGCCTTGTGGCCAGCAGGAAAGCTGATGGCAGACACTTCACCTAGAGCTGCACACCTGAGCTTCCTCAGACATCTGGCAAATGGAAGGCATAAAAAAAAAAAAAAAAATAAGAGAGAGAGAATAGACCCTGACTGAGAAGCAAACTCGAACCAGAACCTATATGGCAAAGGCAGTTTGTTCGTCCCAGAGTGAAATCTCTAACTTTCTAACCAGAAATCAGCTGTCCTCTCCAGGCCCCGCCTGATTCTCCACTGCGGATGTCCAATAACCTGAGCGTTCACTTTAGCCCCACAGCCAGGATCAGCCTTGTTATCTGTTCTTTACAGCCCCCAAATCTGATGAACTCCTCAGTTCCTGCCGGAACACCCCTGGCTACCAGGGTAGTTTACCTCCGCTTATCAGACCTCATGGCTCCTGGCCAAACTTAGCCACAAAATGACTGCCCAGGGATCCTGGTGAGATGGTGCACCAGGCCTCACCATGCTGGGAGTGTGTGGTCAATCCAAGGACAGGCCCGGGAAGCACGCAGGGTTCCGCGTGCGTGGGACGGAGTCATGACTCGTGTTCTCCCAAGGGATGATCCTCGGGCTTGGCTCCAGATTCGGCAGAGCCACGGGCCACTGCTCACGCCTAGCCATACCTTTGGGTCTTTGGGGTTGCGACTCCAGTGATAAAATTCTCTTTGTTTCCCTCAAGTTGGCTCCTTGGCCCCACTTGTACAGATCGTTCAGAGCTGAATACAGTTTGCCCTGTAGAGCTGAACAGGGAATTAAAATAAAATCTTGAGTTTTAAACTAACGCTAAACTAACCTAAGAATCAGGCTACCGAGATAGAAGGCACTATGAGACCACCCCCCCTGGAAATGCCAGGGAGAAAAGACTGCAAGTTGTCAGGGAACTGGACTCTTACTGACCCCCCTGGGGTGCAGTTCCCACTCCCTCAAAAAAGCAAGAAATGCTTTCTCCTTATAATCACTTTCTTTTCTTTTGTTGGTACTAGGGCTTGAACTCAGGGCATGGGTGCTATCTGTGAGCTTTCATGCTCAAGGTTAGCATTCTAGCACTTGAGCCACAGATCTACTTCTGGCTTTTTGGTGGTTCAAGAGACTCACAGACTTTTCTGTGCTGGCTGGCTTTGAATCTCAGTGCTCAGATCTTAGCCTTGTGAGTGGCTGGGATCAGAGGCATGAGCTACCAGCCTGGTTGCTCAGGGACAGCACTTGGGTCCTGAGATCAAGTCCCACAGCCGGGAAAAAGATAAAAATAATAGAAGAGAAATCCTCTGCTTTGTGTGGAGGGAAATTGAGTGTGGCTTACAAGAAGTTCAGGGCACTTCCAATGGCTTGCAAAGATATACCTAAGAGGCCCCTCCCAAAAAGGGGAGGAGCAATATAGACAGTCTAAGCCATAAGCCCTGATCCAGCCAGCTTCTCTTCCTGTTTAGTCTGCTCAAACTGCACAGTAAAACCTTTGTGAAAAGGCTGGAATGCCCAGATCACCTCCAGGCAAGGCGACTTCAGGTCCAACCCACTTTAGCCCAAAACACACCCTTTGTTTCATGATCTACAGCTAAGTCTATAGGCATCTAATTTTTTTGGGGGGATGGGGGCTATTAAGTACCAAAGTGAGAAGTGAGTGGCGTTAATGTTTTAGTGAATTTACGCACCAGCAGTTAGCAAGACTTCCACAAGCTCTGAGGTGTCTCTGTGTGTGCATGCGCCAGCACTGGGGCTTGAACTCACATCCTGGCCACCATCCCTTAGCTTTTTCTTCTCAAGGCTGGAGCTCTCTCTCTACCACTTGCTTGAGACCCTGCTCAAGTTTTGGGGCGTGTGTGTGTGTGTGTGTGCCTAATTGGAGACAAATGTCTCACATCTCATAGTGTGTGTGTGTGTGCCTAATTGGAGACAAATGTCTCACATCTCATAGGCTTTCCTGCCCAGGCTGGCCTCAAAGCTTGAATCGATCTCAGACTCCAGTGTTGCTATGATTATAAGCATGAGCCACTGGCCCCTGGGTTTTCTTGAAGCGCTCTTTGCCACGAACCCGAGTGGATCTGAAGACTGAGTGCGCCCCTGGCTCCTCTGCCCATTTTCAGTCACAAAAGCCTCACAAAAAGAGAGCACAGGTTGTCCTTTGGGACCAACCATGTGGCCAGCGTCGCAGGCGGGGCCCCCTGAGCTGTCTCCTGCAGCCAGCCTTGAGTGGGTAGGGCAGGTCTCTGGGAAGTTCTCCCTTGTGCCTGCCAGCTGCCTGGACATGCAGCCCCACCCAGGCCAGCCTGACTCACTCCGCACCCTCCTCTGGGGAGGCACAGACATGCAGAGCCAACCTCCAGCGGGCAGCCAGGGCCAGGCGGGCAGCGGGGACGGGGAGGGCCCACTGGCAGCCGGTAAGCGTGAGCCTGAGCACCTGCAGGGTCTTCCTCAGAAGCATCTCCCTCTGTGAGAAACCACAGCATGGAGGCCTCAGTGGGGAGCTTGATGGAGACAGGCGCACAGCTCAGCTCCAGCCACCCTGCCCTTCCCATCCTGCAGCTCTGGCCCCTTGTGGCTCCCCCCTCACTCCACCAATTGATCTCAGAGCTCCACATCATTCTGCTCTAATAAGCTGGGACTCTGCACCATCCCATCCTAACTTCCCCCCTCCTACCTTGTGCCAGGATTGTGACGATCACGGTCTCACAGACACGGAGCTTTAGCAGGCACCCAACCAACCACAACCCTGTATTACAAAATGTGACCTTCAGAAGAAACTGGGGAAGAACAGTCACCAACAGGTGAGGAGCCAGCCAGCAGCAGCAGATCTGGAGATGCTGTTCAGCTGAGACAAGGGCAGGCATTGTAGTGCACGCCTACAATCCCAGCACTTGGTAGGTTGAGGTGGGAAGATCACGAGCTTGAGGCTTGTGCTACAGTGAGCATCTACCTCAAAAATCCAATAAAAAAAGAAAAGCAAAGGAAACTAGGAAACACAACTGGACCCTCATATATGGGGTGACACCCTCTGGGCCTGGGCACTGTCCCTCAGCTCTTCAGCTCAAGGTGAGTGTTCTACCACTTGAGCCATAGCGCCACTTCCAGTTTTCTGGCAGTTAACTGGAGATAAGACTCTGCCATACTTTCCTGCCCTGGCTGGCTTTGAATGGCGATCCTTAGATCTCAGCCTCCTAAGTAGCTAGGATTACGGATGTGAGACACTGGCATCTGGCTCTCATGGACTTTTATTCTGCTCAAGCTGTCTCCATACAGTGACCCTTACATTTCAACCCCCTGAAATGCTAAGGTTACAGGCATGAGCCACTGATGCCCATATAACAATCAATCTGAAGACTTTTCTTCAGTGGTAGAGCTCACCTTTTTCAGTGAGCAACAGAGGTGAGGCACTGGCTGGATATTAAAGAGGAGTAGCTGGGGAGGGCTGGGGAGGAGGGGGAGGCAGGCTGGGGCAGCGAGAGGGGGAGGAGGGAGGGAGGAAGGAGAGGACGGGGAGGGGACATGGATGACCTAGTTAGTGTCTTACCACAGCAGTTGTCATAGGTTTGTGCCTGTTGCTTTATATCTATTTTTAATTTTTAACTGAAAAATGAAAATTTTTTGCATCTTAGGGGGAAGGGAGCCTCTGATATCTGAATTTCTACCACCCGGAACACTCGAGCTATACTTTTAGACTTAGCTCCCGTTTTCAAACTTGGCATGAGTTTTTCCATCCTTTAAGCACATTTGCTTTTTTTCTACCAACTGAGCCACACCTCCGATGCCTTAAAAAGGACATCTCCACCTGGATCCCTATGGCTTTGGTCTTCTGTCCAGCCATTTCATATAGAAGGAGGGTACCTCCGAACCCTCCCCCTTCAGATCATGGCAACTTTACTGTATCCCATAAGCATAGCCACTAAGATCTATTTTTAGGAGAAAATGTGGTAGTCAAATGGGAAAGGGCTGGGCATTTTTAATCGCCATCCTCCAGCGTGTGTCCTTGTCACTTGCTCTTCCGGTCAGCATTGGCACTTAAGCTCCATATGGCTGGTATATAGCTCTACCTAAGTCACTACCACTGCTATGATTCCACCTTTAAACTAGACATTGCGCATGTGCACACGCCACTACTGGGGCTTGGACTCAGAGCCTGGGCTCTGTCCTGTAGCCTTTTCATAGTCACATACTTAAGTGCTGTGCTAGGACCTGTCCAGCCCAGGCCTGTCTAGCTGGAGGCCATAAGGCGGCTTAAGCTCCCGGGAGGCTGTGATGGACAGGAGGGGGGGGAGGGGAAGCCGCCTGTAGTGGCCACCAAGGGTACTGCAGCCCTGTTCGCCATCTCCTACGTGCAGCCAGGCACAAAGCACCGCAGGGGGCGTGGCCTCCCGCACTGCAGGGAAAGCTCCAAGCCCCCCCCCAAATGGGCACTCACACCAGGTGGCCCTAAAAGCCAGCAGAGGCTGCACTCCCCTCCCCCAAAGAGCTTCTAGAACAAGTAACCAGAGACCAATCCTCCAGCCCTGAAACAGGCTCTTGGTCCTCCTGCCCCCAATACCAGTGTGGTCTTTATCTTTTGTCCTTTAGCCTCCAATCTCTAGTGCTATCTGCCGCCCAAGTGAGACTCAGCCCCCAGGAAAAGGAGGACAATGAAACCCAGTTCCCAAGGGGTCTGTCCACTCACTCGCTGGAGTTGGGCTGAGGATTATCTGGAGAGATCTAGACATTTGATCCCGGATGAGTTGGTTCAGACAAACTGAAGTAAAATAAACTCAGCCCTACATACCCCTGAGTTTGAGCAGCTAGAGTTGCATCTATTTCCCCACCCCACCCCCTTCCTTCCTCATTCTTAACACTGCCGCCACGTTAAGAAACAGCTTTAAGAAAGGGTTTTTCCTGTGACACCCCCACCCCTCGACATTATCCCCAGGTCTCCAAGGTGTTCAGCTGGCCTCAAGCGATTGATGCTCTTTTGTAAAACTCTGAATGCAATGCTTTCAGAGACAGGAGGCCACAGAAAGTCAGAAGTGACGCCACAGAAATCCTTCCCCATTCGTGATTCACTGCCCACACCCCCTCCCATCGGGGGAGACAGGGAAGGCAGAGGCCTACCTGACTCTGCACTTAGTGGAGCCCTTTGTGATCTAGAGAAATACTGAGCGAGGAAGTTTGAAGCCTGCACATATACATAGACATAAAGCATTTCACCACTCACCCAATGAAGATAACTTTCTCAAAAGCAGCTAAGTTCAAAGGTTGCCCCATCTTCTCTGCAGAGCCCCTGGGGCCGGTGGATTATATTACCCTCCTCCACAGAAAAGCCCCTGCCCCATGCAGTCCCCCCCAACCCCAGCAAGCTCAGGCCACCCAGAGGACAAATTATTTGCAATTATTTGCTAACAATGCTGTCCCAGGAGTAGTGGCCTGGGCTCTCTCTCCTCAGCCACACCCTAAGTACTGTTGGGGGGGTGGGTAACGGTGAGTGGCGTGAGGCTGGTACTAATACCGACCCCAACCAGGCTGGACACATCCTTGGGGCCACCGGTCCACGTGGAGCTGGAGGGAAAGCGAATGGGAACACTTCATCTTTGCGAGGTGCTACTTTGTTCTAAAGGTTCCTTTCCCAAGAGAACCAAGAGTCTGTGGCAAGCTGGGAGTTACAAAGTAACATTACTTAACTACAAAGTAACACCGCTTAGTAAACAGGGCCAGGATCCCCCCCAGGGGACGGGTTTCCGGGAGATGCGCGGGGAGGGAGCGCGCTTGACTCAGAGGTG